ACAGCCTGGCCTCTGCCCTGCTCAGGCAAGTGTTACCAGGTTCTTTAGCTCTGCTGATAGGACTCCATGGCACATAACAACAACAACATGTGCACCCTGCTTTACCAGCAAGCCTCCTTCTTGCCCAAGGGCACTCAGCTTTCTCGCTACCTGGGCTGGAAAGACCACCACTCTGTCTTGTGCCTCTTGGTTCCACTGCCGCTGTCTCTTTCCCAGGCGTCTCTCCCAGCTGGGCATCTCTCAGCCAAGGAGGTCCAGTGCAGGGATCTCCGGTCCAAGGACGTGCTCTACTTCATCTCTAGCTCTTCTCTCTACTTGTAGTACATTCTAGTACACTTGGATAAACACATAAACCAAAACACATAATCCTTTTCAAAACATTCCAGTTCCATCTCTTTACCTTGACTATCTTCCCGTTCTATGCATATGGCCTTGGGCCTCTGATTGGGTGTAACCGCAAGCCCTGGCCTCCAATCTGCCAGCTTCTTTAATTGGCCTCGCTCTTGTCTCAGGCCTTTTCCCCTTCAGCTGCAGCATAATCTCTCTTATATTCCTTTTCCATCATTACAAATAACAACCAAAGTAACCATCTAAGAATCAAAGTTTTCACTTTGCAGGCCCCTTCCTTCTTTCTGTTACAAAGTTGCTTCCATGACTCTGGAGCCATTGCAATGAATTCCACTTCTGACACCAACTGCAAAATGGGCATGGAGGTGGCATACACATTATTTGCATTCATCTGGTGGTAGTCACAAAGACCATGGCTAGAAAAGCCATACCAAGTAACTCAATCTACCACACTTCCATTAGCTTCAGCTATTTTCTTTGAACAAGCAATTTTTAGAGTCTCTTCTGACATCTGTTTTGGTCTTTTCTTTCTAAAAAAAGAAGCCATGTAAATGCAGACACATTAGTCTTGCTGAGATATGCACTTCATTAGTTGTTTTATTTAAATTAATAGCATTTGTTTAGTGTCCAGTGTACTGGCATTCTTTAGAGTTCAGAGAAAAATTAATATAAGAAAAAAAAAGAATTAATAGTGAGTAAATGCTTTAGGATGAATAGCAACTATAATAAACTTCAGTAATTTTGTATTACCCTCACAACCTCAAGATAAAATCTCGTAAGATTCATATCAGTACATTACCTGGTTCTCCAGCTGGTCTTCCCTGCTTTATTCCTCAAATTTCAGCGTGTGATCTAGTTACACTAAACTTATTTTTGTTTCCCCTCCTGCTACCTTCGTCAAATCATACTTCAGTCAAAGCATGGCATTTTCTGTGGGAAACATTTCTTGGTCGTAGAGGTCTTGTGGGCTCCCACAGAAGTCTGTACATATGGCACTTGTAGTATTACTGTAATTGCATATTGATTGTCTGTAAACTCCTTGAGTGTAGGGCCTTATCTTTCATATTAACCTTGGTTTCTCCAGGATAATGCCTGGGAATGTTAAGTATTTGACAAAAATTTTTAAAACTTGGGGGAACAAGAGACCTGCAGTGATCATAGTGGCTTTACCAAGCTCTCCTGGCTAATTCTGTCTCTAGTTGTAATTTTTTTTAAAAAAACATATTTTATGTCTGTGAAGATACTGATGCTGACTGACTTTTTTCTATTCCTTCTCCTTCAATAAGTTGCTTATATTTTCTGGATTCTAATTGTTTATCTGCAAAATGAAGATAATAACGGTCGATACAGGATTATTGGAAAGAATTAAAGAGGTAGCAGAAGGCAAAGTAGCCTCAAATTTGAGACTATTATTTCCTGTCATGCAAATTGAAGGCAGGACTAGATCTCCTAGTGATAACTAGAGTTCATTATTGCTCTTATAATTAGCTCTTAATTGTCCTGAAAGAGGGTTTTGTTTAAGACTCATCTTCTTTTTCATTCTTCCTCTAACAGTGTCTTAGTCGTGAACAAGGTATTCAGTGGGTCAAAAAAGAAAGACTTCCAGCATTTCTGGAAAGTGATTGCTACTTTGAATATAGGTATTGTAATCTCATCAATGTACATATTTTTAAAAATAGCTATAGTTTTTTTTCCACTTAAAATCATTTTTCTATACATTCTCAGTATAATTGAATACCTTTTATTTAGCTCGTTTTCATTTGAATCCCATCTGCTATAGAATAAGAGTGATGGAACATGGGTAAAATTCACTTAATTTTCCAAAGAGATTTCACAGAAACATTACCTAAATGTACTTGAATTACACTTCTTTGATTATTTTATCTATTGGTAATAATGATATTTATGTGTGAGGTATAAAAAAGGTTACAAAAAAAGATAGACTGTCATTGTTGAGGACCATGTTTTTCCTTTATGTTTCCTGATTTTTAACATGCACATTCTAAACATTCTGATATTTTACCAAAATTTTGTTATTATTTAAAAATCAAAATAAAATTAAACAGAATTACTCATGAACGTTCTATAAATAAGCCACTAGTTTTAGCAGAGCCTAAGAGAATCATGCTATAGATTTGAGAGGGAAATTTGACTTCAGTACATAAGATAAAAGTCTATTTTTTTTTCCTTGCTTTCTTAATTTTTTCATCCATGTTTGAAACTTATTTCAAGTTTTATGATTTCTAAAATGCAGGTTAGCCAAATTGGTCTCACAAGTAAGATGGAGCAGATCAGGCATGAATATCACACTAGATACGGATTTTTATCCCTGGGTCCAGCAAAAACCACTCAGTTTACCACCTCCTCCCATTGAAGAAGAAAATGTAATAATTATGAAAAAGTTCTACATTTCTCTTGGCGAGGTAAATGTATATAAAAATTGTCTGTGTGGCTTTGTAGTTCAGTGATATATCTAATTGTAGGCACTTGAATTTCATTTGCACTGCTTGAATAGGAAAAATGATTTCAAATGCTACTAATACAGATGTAGCAATAGTTCTTGTGGATTATTGACTCATTTATTCTGCACTCTTTCACCTGAAATGTAGTTTAAAATATTAACCTCATGTGTGCAAAGAAACAAAAGCTGGATTGAAGAATAGGTTCAGTGCAACCTAGGAAACAAGGATAACTTGAATTATATCCGTGGTTTCATTGCTCATTTCAAAGTTTTTATGTTTTGGGTTCCGTTATTTTGGTAAGGTCCACAGGTGGTACAGGTGGTTTGTACTCTGCTACTAACCTAAATGCTGGCAGTTTAAACCCACCAGCAGTTCTGCAGAGGAATGCCTTTGTGATCTGCTTCCATAAAAGATTACAGGCAAGAAAATCCTATAGGCAAGTTTTATTTAGTGTCATGTGGGGTCATACTGAGTCAGAATCAAGTTGATGGCAACAGGTTTTTATTACTGTTGTTCTAAAAAGATGATAAATTGAGTCTTCTTTGATCTACTGTCTGTACAATTCCTCAGTAGTAAAATACATTACTGTTTAACTGGTATTCTAAGATAAATTTGCCCTCTGTGGTCAGAGGCATGTAGGGTGGTATGTATATTTGAAAATATTTAACTTAGAATCAAATGTCCTTTTGAAGAGTTATTGTATAGTAAAAACTGATCTTGACCTTTAATTCTCAGAGGTTATCTTGGGAACACACTTCTAACACTCAGTTCTGTACAGCAGATGATGAGGAATACATGGCCCACCTGCCACTCTTCTCTTAGTGTCCTTCCACGACAGACAGTGCTAATTAATCATGGCTGTTTTCCTGTCGAACTAGAGTTTAGCTTCAAATTCTTTTCAGCACAGCACTCTGGGCAGGTACTTCCAATTGATCAAAGTTGTCATAGAAGAGGAAACCTATCTGCCATCTCTGTTGGAATGGGTAGATTTATCCTATCTTAATATATTTTTCATTTTTAGCCTCTAATTAATTTTGTAAATTAGCATTTATTTCAGTAATAATTGGCCAAAATGTTTAAAATTATGCGAGCTCCATTATTTCCACAGAATAATGTTTAGTTTTGTGCCAAAGTCACATCTTTCTTCTTTCTTATTTTTAACTATTTTTTCTTTTAACTTATAGAAATGTTAGGAATGTCAAAAATTATGTTCTGATAGAGGCCAATAAATACAAAAAGGGAAGAATCAATCTCGGAGAATAAGTTCTGATTATTTACATTCTTGCTGTGCATTTTTGCTTCTAAGGAACATTCTGGCTATACTTCCCCAAGACAGACTGGTTCATTCTTCTAGCAGTCCATGGTACATTGAGTATCTTCATCAACACCACAATCCAAATGTATCAATTCTTCTGTGCACTTCCTTGGATTCATCGTCCAGCTCTCACGTGCATATGAGGCTATTGAAAATATCATGGCTTGGGTTAGGTGCACCATAGTCTTTGAAGTGACATCTTTGCTCTTTAACACTTTAAAGAGGTCTTTTGTGGCAGATTTGCCCAATGCAATATTTTTTCAGTTTCTTGATTGTTGCTTGCATGGACATTGACTGTGGATCCAAGTAAAATGAAATCCTTGACAATTTAGTATTCCTTCATAGCATAGGCATTTGACTGCTAACCAGAAGGCTGGTGGTTCAAATCCACAAGCCACTCCTCGGAAGGAAGGTTGGGCAATCTACTTCCATAGTGATACCACCTTGGAAACCCAAGAAGGGGTTGCTATGATTAGGATCTGACTCGACGGCAGTGAGTTTGTTTGGGTTTTCTATTTATCATGATGTTGCTTATTGTGAGGTTTTTTGTTTTCTTTATGTTAAGTTGTAATCCATTATGGATTCAGTGTGGATTACACCTCCGCAGCATGCAAGCCTCCACTGACTGACAGATAGTGGCTATGCATGAGGTGCATTAGCTAGAATAGAACTGGGTCTTCCACATGGAAGGGGAGAATTCTATCACTGAATCACCACTACCCCTAAGATGTTTGTAACCACCAGAAAACTTTGGCAACTGATCATTTTTCCTTTACATACTGTACTGCTCAAATTTAAGATTATAATGATAGGTCCAGGTTTGTGATTGGAGGAATCCTGCTATGCTTATGTTAAATAAATGTGCCCTTTTCTTTCTAGGCTTCCTATACTCAAACAAAAGATTGGTTTACGTTAGCAAAACAAAGTCAGCAAACAGTATCAACCTTCTCATTACCCTGTTGTGTGTTCAACAATAGAATTGAATCGCCAGTTCTTTCATCTGTTTCTGGTAAGCAGTGGAGAGGAATGACTCCAGAACTCCTCTTTAATTTCTTTTCTAATATTATAGTAACACTTAATGCTTGAGGAGAAGAATGAGCCCCCTATTCCACTTCCTCCTATTTTTTTGAGAGGCAAATAGATATATTGAAAAGAGCATGGATTTAGAACTCAACTCTGATACTTTGATAATGTTCTCAGAGCCTTACTTTTTTTTTTTTTTTTAATCTGTAAGATTATTATATTACTACGTGCTGAATGATTAAAAAGGGTCTGGCAGTGCCTGGCACTTAATAGGCAATCAATAAATGTTTGTTTTATCTTCATTTCCCGTCCTGTTTGCAAATTTTATTATTGAGCTTCTGAAATAAAGTAGGATCAATGTTTGTTTCTTCTTAAATGTAAATTAATTTACTTATTAAAAGTAAATGTTCAGATTATTTTTTGCCTTGAAAATCTCTACTCTGAGGAGGTTTTGTGGATGATACAAAATTTTCATAAAAATAAAAGGAACCTTCCAAGATGGGTATCATTAACGTTTGCTATGGCTAGAATAAAAAATCTAGATGTGATTCAGGAGAAGAAATCTCCAATTCACTAACAGTTCTGAGCTGATCCCTTGGAAAAAGGGTAAGCCATTGATAACCTCTGAAGAAAATAATATAGATTCTCTAGAATAAACCTTAAATCTAGGTGAAGATATAAGTAATTCCCCTAATTGAAAATAGCTGGATTTATAGGTTCCTTGTTGTTTCCCAAAATAGTAAGGCAGAAAATCTGAGAATAAAGACAGTCAATGGCAAGAGAAAGGGTAGTGTGAGTGGTATTGAGGGTATGCCCAGTAATATTCCATGGTTTACAAAGGTCTAATCTCTCAATATTGGAGATTGAGAATTCTTATTTTCAATAAAATTATAATGAAACATATCCAGTTCATTGAGATTTAAAATCTGGTAACTGAGAAAATGGTCACTGATGGTGGGATACAAAGAATAACTGAGTTTCCTGATCCATGGCATTTCCACTGGCGGTAGGTTTGCCATGTGAAATAAAACTGATATCAGATATTTCACTAATTTCTGAAAGAAAAGATTTGCTAAATTGCCTTTAGAGAAAGTGTAAAACTCCATTTGTATCTGTGTCTTCATAAGTATCTTTTGCAGTGATGGCACTTTAATGACAGGTTATCAGTATTACAGAAATGAATCTTCCTGGGGAAAAAAAATGGTGAATTAAAAAAAAATTACTGATATTGATTCCTTTATCATATAACATGAAATATTAAAATGATATACAATTGCTTAATGTACTCACTCACTACCGTCGAGTCAGATCTGACTCATATTGACCCCTCCTTGGGTTTCCGAGGTGGTATCACTACAGAAGTAGATTGTCCAACCTTCCTTCTGAGGAGTGGCTGGTGGGTTTGAAATTCTTTATTTGACTTGGCAATTATGTATTGACATTCATATCAGCCTGAAATATTACATTTTAAAAGTATATAATGTAAGGAGGCCTTATGGGGCAGCAGTTAAACACTTGCCTGCTAACTGAAAGTTTGGCAGTTCCGAACTACCTAGCAGCTTCATGGGAGAGAGACCTGGTGCTCCTGTGATGAGTACAGCCTAGAAAACGCTTTTACTCTGTCACATGGGGTCACTATGAGTAGATGTCAACTCAACACCATCCAAAAACTACCAACAATAACTTTTTTACAGGGCTTCAAACTGATTTGAACCAGTTTAGTCATGGCCAACAGAGTGAAATCAGAAATGAATTTGTAAAATGTGGTGTACCAGGACAGCACCTAGGATGGGGAGAATTACAGGTTGAAGCCCTGGAATGGGAGACTTAGATACTGAGCCCTCTTAGGAGCCTGATGTAGATATTGGATTATTGCCAGGACTATGGAGAGTGACACACATTCAAAGCACGTGGTCAACTGCCATCTTTGAGCTGGGCATCACTGTTGACTACTCTTCCAGTCAGGAGATTTGGTTGTTACGCAGCATGTGTGTTGCCTTTGTTTTCTAAGAGGAACGTTAAGTTTCTAGCAGGACTTCAACCTGTAATTTTCACCCTTTTGGTTATTATTCTAGTACAAATTCAGATCTATTCCAGTTTTACTTCATCAGCCATAACTGAACTGGTAAGAATCAGTTTAAATGCTGCTTTTTGAATATCCTCTGTACAACAGATGTCAAATATTTGTCTCAGTGCCATAATTATCCATGTTCAGGGAAGACAACGCTAATCTTTGTTGTCAGTTTTTCCCTGTTGGTCCCAAATATAGCTTCAGAATCCTATTTAAAACACTGGTGTATGCAGTCACTACCCATTAGAATTGGCCAAAAAACAAACTATACCATCTATTTAACTTTTTAAAAAGTTTTGTACTCATGTTAAATCTAATGGCCTTTTATGATTTAATGCAGAGAGTTTTATCTTTGATGATGGAGTTCACCCCAGGACCAAAAAAGACCCATCTAAAACTGCTGGAGTAATTTCTGAATTTGAAGAAGGGTCTATAGCTCTACATGACACTCCTTCTCAAGCCCTTCTGCGAGTATACCTTGAAATGCGAGAGGATGCTGATGAAAGCCTGACCGTGCATTTTCCAACATGTGAAGCATTTTTAAGGTCTTACATAACCTTCATTTTGAGAGCCGCAATTCAGCAAATTAATGGAGAGCCACTTGGAGAAAGCTCAGATTATATAAACTTCACCAATGTAGCACAAGTAGTGTTTGACAAGTCTTTTGAGCCCGTCCCTGTGGAGAATGCTTGTGTAGGTGAAACAGTTCAGACTACAAAGGAAAAGTCAGAAGAGAATGTAGAACGAACAAGTTTAAGTTCAAAGAGTGAAATCGGATCAGAAAGCAGGGCTGACTGGTGTATTTCCCACAGAACTTATGACATTGGCAATAGAAAAGAGTTTGAAAGATTTAAGAAATTTATAAAAGGTACATTAGGAGAGAGATATTGGTGGCTATGGATGGATATTGAGAGGTTAAAAGTTCTTAAGGACTCTGAAAGACATCAAAGGTATTTTTATTTTTCAATATGTAATTTATACTTTTGGAGGAATGAATAATAATAAAATATATTTTATTATGATAATTAATTTCACTAGTTTTTTGAATTCATAGCTTTGAGATACAAATAGTAACAATTATTTGGTTTTCCATAATGTTTTTTCCCATTAATTCTAAAAATGCTTTGAAGTTACTTACTCTATTTTGATCTTATAGCATTCCAGAAAAAGACAGTACATTTATTTTAATGACATTCAGAACATAGAGCTCATTGTTGTACAGCAGGAGAAGAGCAGAGTCACAGGTGGTTGACTTGAAACAGAATCTGATTCATCACAGGGGAAGACTGCTTCCAGTTTTCAAGACATCGGGGAAGATAAATGAAGACAAATGCAAAATACCGATTTTTCAGGATCAGTACAGTATTAGTTCCTATTGCTGCTGCAACAGGATTACCACAAATTTAATGGCTTAAAGCAATACAAATTTATTCTCTTATAGATCTGGGGGTCAGAAGTCTAAAATAGGAATGCAGAGTTTTATTCCTTCTCGAAGTTCTAGGGGAGAATCCATTTCTTTGCCTTTTTCAGTTTCTGGAGACTACTTCCATTCCTTGGTTTGTGCCCCTTTGTTCATCTTCAAAGCCAGCATTGTGGCATTTTCTCTCTTCTTTGACCTCTGCTTCTGTCCTAGTCTCTCCATGACTTTTACCTTTACCTTCCTGCCTCCCTTTTAGAAGAACTCTTAGGATCACATTAGGCTCCCCCAAATAATCCAGGATAAATCTTCCCTTTTAAAAATCCTTAATTTAATCACATCTGCAAAGTCCCTTTTGCCCTATAAGGGCAGGTTCTGGGGATTACAATGTGGAAATGTCTGTGAGGATGTTATTCAGCCTACCACAAATACCTTTCTCGTTTCTATGACCATGAGAGAGATTTTCATCTCTTCAAAATGTTTGGTACCCTGTAACTGAGTGTTGGTTTTGAGATAGTTCATTATTTGTATAAAATACTTCAGAAATGAAGACATTTGGTTAGCTGAATGTTGTATCACTGCATGTATATATATGTATGTGTTTTATTTCAGACATCTTGAGAAGATGAAAAAATGCTATCTAGTGAGCAGTGGAGATTGTTACCTTTCTTTAGAAATCTTATCAAAACTTAAACTGCTAGATGGATCTCAGTGGAATGAAGAACATTTAAAAAGTATTCAGTCTGAGGTTGTAAGACCCTTGCTTCTGTATTGGTAAGACAAAATAACATGAATCAGTTACTCACTTTCACTGTTCTTAGAATAGTAATAGTTACACTTTTTTTGTCTTATGGATGAATAAATTATGTTGTTGTTGTTGTTGTTATGTGCCGTCGAGTCAGCCCTGACTCACAGCGACCCCTCCTTGGGTTTCCGAGGCAGTATCACTACGGAAGTAGGATTGCCCAACCTTCCTTCCGAGGAGTGGCTGGTGGGTTTGAACTGCCAGCCTTCTGGTTAGCAGTCAAGTGCCTTAGCCACTATGCTACCAGAGCTCCCGAATAAATTATAGAAATTTAAAATAACAAGATTACTGTATTTTTGGCCTTCCCCAAATACTTATCCTTTAGCTAATTCGGATGTTTAGGTAACTTGAGATTAATATAAGGCTAGGGAGTACTTAAGTTCCCTTTTAATTTTGTGAGCACATCCTTCTATACTTGACTTTTTTATGGTCTGTAGTCCTCAAATTGATGTATGTGTGTGTTTGTGCATGTAGCCAGTTGCATTTTTATCCTCTCAATACACATTTTAAACATTTACTGTACGCTAGTGCTGTGCTAATCGTACAGAGATGAAACAGTCAAGATGATCATAGTCTAGTGGAAGGAGTATACATGTAAAAGTAAAATAAGATGTGGTGGATGTGCAGAATACAGAGAAGAAGTAATGTTTTACCTGGAACTAAAGGGACTCTAAGCAAGGGAAAGAGAACGAACAGATTTAGTGCAGGAGATGTATGCCATCTGAGGATCAGTGAGTTGTCCTTTGTGGTTGTGACTGATCTGATTGTGTTACTTCTTTGCTTTGTTATATTCCCTGGTTCTTCAGAAACTTTCCGGATGAAATTCAGATGCCTTAATTTAGCAAACAAGAGCATTATGATCTGTCCTTTGTCCACTTCTCTGGCATCAAGTCCTTATATTTAGTTACTTATATGCCTTGTACTTTTCCATATATATAGAGAAATTTTCTTCCCTTTTTTTCTTTAAAAATTTTTATTCTTAAATATTTATGACATATGTAAAGGTATAAATTACATTACAATAGGCACTTATGTACCCAGCACTCAAGAAATAAAACATTACACAATATAGTTGAAGCTTCTCTTTTTTTTTTAAAAAAATTAACTTTTTATTTTGAGATAATTGTATGTTCATATGCAGCTGTGAAAAAATCATGCAGAATTATCTTGTATACCTTTTACCCATCTCCCCCTAATGTTAATGTCTTGCGTAACTACGGTACAATTATTATGAGTAGGAAATTGACGTTGATACAAGTCACTGACCTTTTTCATGTTTCACCAATTTGATGAGTTTCACCAATTTTATAAGTTTTTTTTTAACCTATATATCACTTCTCCCCTTTGCACACAATTTCTTCTGTAATTAACATCATGTGTTAAAATGATGGTACATTTGTTACAATTTGTTACAATTGAAGAACCAATATTAATACATTATTAACTAAAGCCCATAGTTTACATTAGGCTTCATTCTTTATGTTGTACAGTTCTTTGGGTTTTGACAAATGCGTAATGTCATGCATCTACTGTTATAGTATCATACAGAATAGTTTCACTGCCCTAAAAATGCCCCGTGCTTCATACATTAATTTTCTTTCTCCCTCTAAATTCCTGGAAACCACTGATGTTTTTACTATCTCTATTTTTCAGAATATCATATAGTTGGAATCATACACTATGTAGCTTTTTCAGATTGGTTTCTTTCACTTAGCATTGTGCATTTAAGTTTCCTCACTGTCTATTTGTAGCTTGTTAGCTTTTTTCTTTTTATTACTGAGTAATACTCCATTCAATGGATGCACCACATTCGTTTATTGAAGGACATCTTGATGGTTTCCAGTTTTTGGCAATTAGGAATAAAACCACTGTAAACATTCACATGCAAGTTTTCATGTGAGTGTAACTTTTCAACTTATTTGGTTAAATACTAGGAGAAAGATTTCTGGGTCATATGGTAAGGTCATGTTTAGCTTTGAAGTTAGAAACTGCCAGACTGTCTTCCAAAGTGGCTGTGCCACTTTGCATTCACATCAGCAATGAATGAGAGTTTCTCTTGCCTCACAGCCTCTGGGATTTGATGTCAGTGTTTTAGATTTTGGCCATTCTAATAGGTATCATGTTGTTTAAATTTTAAATTCTCTAATGATATAACATATACAGCTTCAATCAATATGTTTACTTATTATCTCTATATCTTCCTTGGCTAAGTGTTGTTTCAGGTTATTTTTTTTTTTTTACAATTTTTGAATTGATTTTTCTTTTTGTTTGCTTATTGTTGAGGTTTAGGAGTTCTGTATATATCTTGGATACAAATCCTTTATCACATATGTGTTGATAAATACTTTCTCCCGGTCTGTACCTTGTCATTGAATTTTTCTTAACAGTGGCTTTTACAGAGAAGAAATGTCTAATTTAATGAAGTCCAACTTAAAATTTTTTTTAAATGGGTCAAAATTTTGATATTGTATTTAAAAACTCATTGTGAAACCCAAAATCACCTAGATTTTCTTCTATGTTGTTTTCTACACGTTGTATAGTTTTGTAGTTTAAAATTTAGGTCTGCAATGTGTTTTGCATTAATTTTGTAGAAGGTGTAAGGTCTGTGTCTAGATTATTATTATTTTTGCTTGTGATTGCCAGTTGTTATAGCACCGTTTGTTGAAAAGATTATCCTTTGAATTGCTTTTGCTGCTTTGTCAAAGATCAGTTAACTATTTGTATGGGTCTATTTCTGGGCTCTGTATTCTATTCCATTGATCTATTTGTTTGTTTCTTCATCAATAGTACACTGTCTTGGTCACTGTAGTTTTCCAGTAAGTCTTGAAGTCTAGTAATGTTAGTTGTATGACTTGGTTCTTCTTCAGTATTGTGTTGGCTATTCTGAGTCTTTTGCTTTCCCGTATAAATTTAGGATCATTTTTATCAATATACACAAAATAACTTGCTGGAATTTTGATTGGGGTTGCATTAAATTTATAGATTATGTTGGGTATATGGCATATTGATAATATTACCTCTTCTTATCCATGAACATGGGATAATGCAGTGCACTGCTGTCAAGTTGGACGTGATAGCAATCCCTCCTTGGGTTTCCGAGGGGGTATCACTATGGAAGTAGATTGCCCAACCTTCCTTCTGAGGAGTTGCTGGTGGATTTGAACCAGCAGCCTTCTGGTTAGCAGTCAAATGACCTAGGCACTATGCCACCAGAGCTGCTTTTGTATACATTTTGTTAGATTAATACCTAAGTATCTAAGTTTTGGGGGATGCCAATGTAAATGGTGATGCTAACGTACATTGTTCACTGCTGATATAGAGGAAAGCAATTGTCTTTTTTACATTAACTCAGTGTCCTGCAACCCTGCTATAGCTGCTTATTAGTTCCACGTATTTTTTGTTGAGTCTTTGGAATTTTCTTTATAGAAAATCATATCATCTATGAACAAAGACAGTTTATGCTTTCCAAATCATTGTAACTTTTGTTTCTTTCTTTTGTCTAAATTAGCTGAGACTCCCAGTACAATGTTGAATAGGAGTGGTGAAAGGGTTCCTAGCATCTAGTTTTTCAGTATTTAAGGGTGATGTTACTGGTTTGGTGAAAGTATGCAAAGATCACCATTTCAACAGTTTCTACCTGTTCAGTTCAGTCACATTGATAACATTCTTCAAGTTGTGCTACCATTCTTACTATCCATTTCCAAATTACTTCATCAGCATTATCTTAAACTCACTACCCCCTAAGTTTCCCATTTAACCTTTTGAGTTATCATTATCTATTTGATCTCACATAGATAGTTCATTTTTCTTTTTTAGATATAATTTATCAAGGTGAGGAAGTTCCCCTTTATTCCTAATTTACTGAGAGTTTATGTTGTCAGTGGGTTTGGATTTTATTAAATGCTTTTTATGCAGATGTTGATATGGTCATGTAATTTTTATTCTTTAGCCTGTTTTTGTGATGAGTTACATTAGTTGAAACTCTTTCATTTAACCCTTTTGTCGTTAACCCACTGCCATTGAGTTGATTCTAACTCATAGCGAACCCCATTGGGTTTCCAAGGTTGTGAATCTTTACAGAAGTAGATTACCTCATCTTCCTCCCATGGAACGGCTGGTGGGTTTGAACCACTGACCTTCTGGTTAGCAGCCAAATGCCTTACCCACTATGCCACCAGAACTCATTATACCCTCAAAAAGACAAAAATTTAGTAGTTCAGAATAGATCAGTGGTTGCCAGGAGTTAGGGGTGAAGGGAGTGTGATGACAAAAGGGTAGTATGATAGAGTTTTTTGAGATGATGAAATTGTTTTGTATCATAAACTGATTAAAGGTTTTGGATTCTCTTCCACTCCCAGTCTTTGTCCACATCAAGGAGACATTGATCTTCCTATTTTAAAGTGAGGGCCTTTCTACCAGGCCCTGAAAGGTATGGAGTAGGAATTAGACCTTAGGCTGTGGCATCAGGGGAAAAACCTGGTCCAAGCCCTGACAGCTGTAGTCACCCTATGTCCAACAAAGAGCCCACAGATTGAGTACCAGAATATCAGTCCAATTAGATGCGGCCTTGACATTGTGCCAAACATTCCTTTTCCAAAGTTTCTGGTGGTAATATAGATCTTTCATTTATAGCAGTTGTTGTAAAATTAATTCTTACCTTCAAATTTAAGGCTTGAAAATAGACAATATGAACAATAACCCACTTTAGTAGTATACTTAAACATTATGAAAATGTTAATATATTTAAAAATGTGAACTTCACCTACCAGTTTTTATCTTGGTACTATAAATAAATACTAAGTGGCTCTAAAATGATCACATAAAAATGCATTTTATGTTCATTTTATGAGAAACTATAGGTAATTTTTAAAAATACCTTCAGTGATAGATTTGTAGATATCTTGTTCTTATCAAGCAGATAATCATTTCAACATTACTTTTTAATAGTTTTTCTAATGTGTATTGCCTTTTTATATAAGTAAATAGAACTGCAGGCAATTTACATATAATAGAAAAATATTTTGTAAGGCTTGACAGCAGAAAAAGAAGTAAAATGACTAGAAAATGGGTATAAAAAACCAAACTCACTGCCGTTGAGTTGGATCCGACTCATAGCGACCCCTCCTTGGGTTTCCGAGGCAGTATCACTACAGATGTAGATTGCCCAGTCTTCCTTCCAAGGAATGGCTGGTGGGTTTGAACTGCCAGCTTTCTAGTTAGCAGTCAAATGCCTTAGGCACTATACCACCAGAGCTCTCAGAAAATGGGTATAGACAGACTGACTAGTATAAGCATAGCTATTATATATTTTGTAGGCTTTTGATTTTTGAGGCTTTATTTTTTTTCAATTTTTTTTTATTGTGCTGTAGGTGCAAGTTTACAGAGCAGTTTGTTTTACATTCAACATTTCATATAAATTTGGTTTCACTCCCCAATTACCATCCCCAACCCTAACCCACTCTCCTCCCCTCCCTGCCTAATAACACACACCCCCTTAGTTATGCACTCCTGTGTGTCCTGCATTTCCTCCATGCGAATGTTGCCCTTCTGGTGCCCATGGTTGATTGCTCCAAGGCATGCATCTCCATAGAGTATGTGGGTGCATCACCCTGGGTTGAGTGGTTTGCCTGTACATCTTATTTACTATTGGGCTAAGAGCCAGCTCCTGGGAGTGAGTTTTATTCCAGGCCCGAAGTGTATCCCAGGGGCCATAGTATTGGAGGTCCCACCAGAGACTCCATCCGACCAGTAGTTCTGATCATTATTGTGTTTTTGGATTTTGTTCCATGTTTTTTCTCCCACTCTATCCAGGATCTCCAGTTTTGATTCTTTCCTTTTGAGGCCTTATTGTCTCATTTAATCTTAAATTTGTTTTTTGCTAAATAGGGCACCAAGATTCTGTGTTACTCATTCAGGATCAACAAAATATGCTAGTGCTAAACTGAAATTCTGGCACCTCCGTCAGGAGAAACCAAGGAAGGATATTGACCCTTTTCCACAAATAGCAACCCTCTTGCCATTAAGACCTAAATCTTGCATTCCACAGATACCTGTGATCCAGGTAAGGTGTATGTTGATGCTTTGTCTTCTTTATTACATCGATAGTTAAAAAAAAAATCCATATTTAGATTTTTGTATACTTGTTAGTTAAGTAAGTTTCATCATAAGCTTTTTTGCAGTTAATGTACATGCTGCAACAGTTAGGAACTAAGAAAAACAGATGCAAAAACATAATTTTTTGTAGGCTGAATTAACTTTTCATGCATGCTGCTATATCAGTTGGATATGACAATTTTTGTCTACAAAATATCTGACTTCTAATCAAAGATTATATATGCAGAATTTTTAATATTGCATGTTTTTCTCTTACGAAATAATAAATATAGTGCCAGCCCATTATTATAGTTTTAAACAGTGAAGTTTCCATGCAATATAGTAGACCTAGAATCAGTTGTTGTCACACTATTTAACATTCCTCATTAGGGATTTTTTAGCCCATCAAATAGGTATTTTCTGAAAACTCAAACAATGATCTATAAAACGGAGGCTTACAGTCTTTTATTGCACAAATGGAGAAGCCTATCCTCAGATTCTTATGGAATTGCAAGGGGTCCAGAATAGCATAAACAGTATTGAGAAAGAACAGAGTTATAGGGCTCACATTTACTGATTTCAAAACTGACTACAAGGCTAGAATAATCAAACCACTATGGTACTGGCATAAGGATAAACATTTAGACCATCGAAATAGAATTGAGAGTCAATAAATAAACCCATACACCTATGGTCAATTGATTTTTGATAAGGATGCCAAGACAATTCAATAGGGGAAAGAATAGTCTCTTCAACAAATGGTACCTAGGACAATTTGGTGCCCACATTCATATCACTACATCAAACCATATACAAATATTAACTGAGAGAATCAATAACCTAAGTATAAGAACTAAAACTATGAAATGCTTGGAAGAAAATTAGGAGTAAATCTTTGTGACCTTGGATTTGGCAATTGTTCCTTAGATATGATACCAAAAGCATAAGCAACAAAGAAGAAATAGATAAATTGGACTTTATAAAAATGGAAAACTTTTGTGCATCAAAGGGCATCGTCAGGAGAGTGAAAAAGACAACCTACAGAATGGGAGAAAATAATTTCAAATAATGAACTTGATAGGGATTTAGCATCCAGAATATATAAAGAACACTTATAGACAACAACAAAAAGGCAATTTCAAAAATGGGAAAGGATTTGAAGAAATTTTTCTCCAAAGAAGTTATACAGTTAACCAAGAAGCATATGTAAAGATGGCCAACAGCATTAGTCATTGGGACTATGAAAAATCAAAATCACAATGAGATACTGCTTCATAACCACTAGGATAACTAAATCAAAACAATGGAAAATAAAAAGTATTAATGAGGATGTGGAGAAATTAGAATCTTGTATATTGCTGATTAAAACTCACTGCTGTAGAGTCAGATCTGACTCATAGTGACCCCTCCTTGGATTTCCGAGGCACTATCAAGGTTGGGCATTCCTACTTCTGTAGTGATACTGCCTCGGAAACACAAGGAGGGGTCGCTATAAGTCGGGGCCGACTTGATGGCAAATAACAACAACAACAACAACATCACTACAGAAGTAGATTGCCCAGTCTTCCTTCCGAGGAGTGTCTGGTGGATTTGAACCTCCAGCCTTCTGGTTAGCAGTCAAAAGCCTTATAAAATGGTGCAGCCACTGTGGAAAACAATGTAGTGGTTCCTCAAAAAGCTAAATATATGGTCCAGCAATTTCTCTCTGAGGTATATATCTATAAGAATTTTAGAAAGGTATTTAAACAAATACTTGGGCACAGATGTTTGTAGCAGCACTATTTACAATAGACGAAAGCTGGAAACAACCCAAGTGTCCATAAGCAGATGAACATATAAACACATTGAGGCATATGCATACAATGGAGTGTTATTCTGCCATAAAAAGGAATTAAGTACTAATATGTGCTACAACTTGGATGGCCCTTGAAAACATTATTTTGACTGAAATTAGTCAAACACAAAAGACAAATATTGTATGATCCCACTTATATGAAATAATCTACGATAGGCAAATACATAAAGACGAATGTTTATTAGTGATTACTTGGAGCTGAGGAAAGAGGAAATGAGGAGTTGTTGATTAAGGGATTCTGAATCTGTTTGGAGTGATGGAAAACATTTGGGAATGGATAGTGGTGATAACTGCACAACTTGGTGAATGGAATTAATGTCACTGAATTGTGCAGTTAAAAATGGTTAAAATGGCAAGTGTTTTGTTATATATATTTTACCACAATAAGAAAAAAAATTTGCTTCTGCATTCTAGACTTAGAAGGACCTTACAGTTTTTCTCTGTGTTTCTTACACACTAGAATCAGTTAGAGAGATTTTAAAACATACTGATGCCTGGGTCCCACTTCAAAGATTCTGATTGAATTGATCTGGAATGGGTCAAGGCCATGATAAAAACAGAGATGTGGCTTAGATCCAAGGGTCCAACCTGCCTGAATATTAGAATCACGTTTTAGAATCTTCAGTTTTTTATAATCCTCAGGTGATTCTTACCATATTGAAGTATGCAAAGCACTGCTGTAGGTTGGTAGTTCTCAAGTTTTAACATACAGCAGAGCCACTTGAAGAACTTGTTAAAACAGATCCCTAGACTTCACACCAGGTATCAGATTCAGAAAGTTTGGGATGAGGCCCCCAAATGTTCATTGCTAACGAGCGCCTTCCCAGGAGATGATCTTGTCCCTGGTCTGGTGAAACTTTGAGTTAATGCCACTTTGGTGCACTAACTAATGTTTTCTTATCTGTTGTATGGCATTTTTTGAACTTTATTTGCACATTGTGGCTTTTTTGTATACCACTCTACTGATGAATCCTCCTGGTTTTAGTTCATGCGACTTAGTGACTCAATCAAAGACCAGTTAACACACATCTTAAAGGTGTAGTGTGGGGAGCAGGTCGTCTTACAACATGTAAACCTTTGTACAAATAACATTATCAAACTGAAAGGGAAAGAAAAAACAAGTGTGTGGTTAATGAAAGGAGCTCAAATAAGGGAGTAATACCAAAGATATGGGGAGAGATTATGTTGTGAAGAATTGGTATGAACATGACTGTTTATACCACTCATCTGTTATTTTTGTTTGGCTTCCTGAGCGTCATTACTGTTTGTTGTCATTGATAGTTTCTAATTGGACAATTGGTTTTGATCTCACTCTCTCTCCTTGGCAGAGAACACTCTAAGAAATCGAACTCAATTCAGTTTTCTGTATTTTTCCTATTTTTAAAATTAAAGTATCATTTAGATACAGTAAAATTCACCATTTTTTAGCATACAGTTTTGTGAATTTTAACTAATGTATACATTGTAATCACCTTCACAATCATAATATAGAATAATTTCTTCATACTCAAAAATTATTCTGTGCCCCTTTGTTAACATTTATTTTCATCAGTTCCTTTCTGTTATTCTAGCTTTCAGTCAAAAACTTTCTGACCTTTCTCTGTATGATACATTTTAATAAGATCAGCTACCTGTGGTATCACTAATGGCATTTACTGAGTGTTACTTAATGTCATGCTGTGTTATGTGAGCCCCTATACCTAAGAAGTTACACATAAAATATACTTAAGTAATTGTTGTAGTTAAGTTTGTGTGTCAACTTGGCTGGACCTGGTTGAGTGGCTGGGCAGCTGGATGTAATTTTTCCCCATGATAAGATTGGTAATCAGCTCCATGGTGGAATGTACTGTGAGCAGCTGACTAGCTGCCTTAGGGATGTGGTCTGCTTCTTGTATATGAGGAGAAGGCTTGGAGAATGGTCTCTAGCTTACAGCACACTTGAATCCTGCGTGTAGCTGTGTTGTTGTTCAGTAGCCTGCCATGCTCTGCCAATCCTGGGACTTTCAATGGACTTGAATCAATGGTCTGCCATGTGGTTTGGTAACATCGGGACTGTGCCATTTTATTTGTTGACCTTGGACTTGTTAGTCTTAGCAGCCAGTAGCTGACTGAGTGAAGAGATGTCTCTAGCTTCAGTGGGCTGGGAGCAGAAGCCAAAGCTGAAGCCCAAGGTTGAGGGGCTTTCACCCAAGCCCCTAGAGCCTGGCACTTTGAACTTGGACTTAAAGCCTCCCAAACTGTAAGAGAATAAACTCCTGTTTATTAAGACCATCCTGTTTGTGGTATATTCTTGTTAGAGCACCACTAGAGGTAACCAGAACAGAATATGGTACCAAGAGAGTGGAGTGCTGCTCTGACAGATACCTAAAATGTGTATAGGAGTGTAGTGTGTCCTTGACCCGAGACCCTGGCAGAGAGACCTTGGCATGCGACATGAGAGACAGCAGCAGCAGAGCCAAGAGACTGGCAGAGAAATAATGGCAGAGAGACCAGCATGAGAGATGGCAGTAGCAGAACCCAGAGGCTGGCATTAAACAGTAACCGGCTTACCAGCCCACAGAGGAGAAAGCTGGATGCCATTGGGTAGGCAGCTTCCTGGTGGAGTGGGTTGCCTTTGGGCATTAATTGGTAGAAGAGACCAGCATGAAATGGAGTAGCAAGTTGGCTGGCCCACGGAACAAGAAAGCTGAGTGCTTTTGAGGCAGGATGATTTCCTGTGGAGTGTGTTGCCTTCAGCATTAATTGGCAGAAGCGGAGAGACCAAGGAAACAGGAAGCAGAGCTGCCTCAGCCTCAAGTGTAGGACCATGGCCTTTGGGGGTAGAACCACCACAGCCCCCTAGATTTCAAAGAGCTAGACCTTCACCAACTTGGTTCTGGAGTGTGGGACTGCTCATTCATGTAGCCCAGTGGGATTGAGTTATAGCCGCTGCCCAAGAAAGAGGGGGCAGGGCTGCCATGCCCAAGAAGGAGAGGAATGGGGCCCACCAGGCGAAGGGAGTGAGGTCGCCACCCAGGAACTAAGGGATTAGAGCCACCCAGTGAAGGAGGTCTGTAGAGATGCCACCCATTGAAGATTTGTACAAGTGCCAAGTTGACAAGGGGTGGAATTGTGGTAGTAAAGTTTGTGTGTTAACTTGGCTGGGCCTGGTTGAGTGGCTGGGCAGCTGGATGTAGTATTTTCCATGATGAGACTGGTAATCAACTCCGTGGGTGGAATCTATTGTGAGCAGCTGAGTAGCTGCCTTAGGGAATGTGGTCTGCTTCCTGTATATAAGGAGAAGCCTTTGGGAACTGTCTCTAGCTTATGGCACACTTGAACCCTGCATGTAGCTGTGTTGTTCAGCAGCTTGCCATGCTCTGCCGATCCTGGGACTTTCAGTGGACTTGAATTAATGGCCTACCGTGTGGTTTGGTAACATCAGAATTGTGCCTTTTTACTTGTCAACCTTGGTCTTGTCAGTCTCAGCAGCCAGCAGCTGTCTGAGTGAAGAAAAACTTCAGTGGGCCGGGAATAAGAGGCAGAGCTGAAGCCCAAGGTTC